GAGCAGCGGCGGCCCGGGCCTGGGCGCACACCCCGGCCACCAGCCAGGCAGCGCGGGCCAGTCCCCGGACCTGGCGCACCACGCCGCCAGCCCCGCGGCGCTGCAGGGCCAGGTGTCCAGCCTGTCCCACCTGAACTCCTCGGGCTCGGACTACGGCACCATGTCCTGCTCCACCTTACTGTACGGTCGGACCTGGTGAGAGGGCGCCCCTCGCGTTGCCTCCGCGGTCCAGCCTGTCGCCTCACGGACCACCGTCCTCCTGCTGCTCCACGCGCTTCGACTTTTCTTAAAAACCTGTCCCCCATTTAGACCAAGGCGGGGAACCCCACAAAAGCCAAACTGCTGGATGTCTTTTGCTTTTTTAAAAAAAATTTGTTTGTTGATTTTTTTTTTTAAAAGAAACGCAACAACCAAGAGAATCCAATTGTTTAAGGAGTCTTTGGACAGAAGGACACAGAACAGCCTTAGGGCGTCTCTGACGTGATTGGAGTGGGTTTCCCACGCCCGGGCGCAGCACCATTTGGAGAGGGCTCTGCGCTGACCTGGATCTGGACTTAAAGATCACAAACTTCAGTCTGGGTGCACTCTGCCAGCGAAATGGACTTCCTTGTAAATACCAGCATTTCTTTTTCAGCAGGGACAGGGCCTGGGGAGTGGAAGGACTTGGACAGAACCCACTTGTCACCCACACAAAGGGAGGCGGCCCCTCTCCCCGCGCCCTGTCTGCCGCCCAGGCTCGGCCAGGACTCCAGGGCCCGGCGGAGAAGTGTTTCATGTTTGATGTGAACTTGTAGCTGTAAAATGCTGTCAAAAGTGGGACTAAACACCTAGTTTTTAGCAATCTGTATATTTTGTTGTAAAAAAGAAACCCAGTCCTCAGACCCAGCCCTAGCCCCTCGCATTTTTTATGAGCATTGACAAATCTGTGTATATTATTTGGCAGTTTGGTATTTGCGGCGTCAGTCTTTTTTTTTTTTTCTGTTGTAACTTATGTAGATATTTGCTTAAATATAGTTCTTAAGAAGCTTCTAATAAATTATACAAATTTAAAAGATTCTTTTTCTGATTAAAAACCCTCCTTTTGGTTTGATTTTAAACGTCTTTCTCTATGTTTGCTGTTAGGGACCTCGTCTTTGGCTCAATGAGATCAAATTGTTTAGGAACTGGCCGCATCAACTAAGAAGGCCAAACTACTAGTCCCGTGGGAAGAGGGACTTTTGGTTGAAGCCTTAGATTTGAGTCAACTAAACTTTGAGGGGACCTGGTATTCAGCAACAAGAGGGGAGAAAAGATAAACTCCTTCTACCAGGAGACAGAGTGAAAGACTAAAGTTCTCTGCAGAGCCCCCCTTCTGTTCCTAGACACCCCCGAAATGCCCATTGTGTGGTCTCACACGGCTGAACCAAGGACTGGAAAACAGCCATCCAGACTATTCCTTTGTAAATAACCCCGAAGAAGCGTTTCTTTTTCCTAACAAATCACTTCTGTAAATTTGAAATCAAACTTTTCTTTCTGATGTGTGTTAGTTGTGAGGGGGTATTGGTTGATTTTTATTTGTGTGTTTGTTTTAAAGTGGATGGGAAACTCATTCCAAGGTACTGTTTCTCCTTTGTAACTGAAACGTGTTCAGGGCCGACTCGGATCTCCAGCTGCTCTGTTTCAGGCGCTGTAGGGCTCAGCCTTGGATTTGGGGGTGCCCTGGGCTGGACTTGAGGGATTGGATATTTGTTCTTGTTCCACTTGCTTCAATATCTGACCTACAAAATATTTCTCGCAACAAACTTTCCTCCATATCCCAGCAGAAAAAGAAAGAAAATAAGAATGACCATCTTTGACCCTTTCTTTTTTGCGCTCTGAAAGGAGCCCAGCTCTTATATGTCCTGGATGGAAAAGTTGGAGTAACTATTAGAATTGCAGGGTGGGTGGCGGAGAGCGATTGGCCGACTGAGTGAGGAGTAGTGATCCCTGGATGGCTGAGGACCCTGCCGTCAAATCCCGGAGAAATCTTTGAAAGAAAGGTGCAATGAATTTCTAGAAGGAAGGTGTCCATGATGGCCTACCTACAGATGCACATCCCAGTAACTTTTTTTTTTTTTTTAAACCTGGAAGTATTTGCCTGGACAAATTCAAATTCTGAACCTGGAGAATTCATTAATATTTGGCTCACTGACTTCTCACCTGAAATGCCAACTTTTCTTCCCTGGCTTCCCCGTTCCATCTTCCTTTCTTCTCCTTTCTCATTCTCTCCTTGGCATTCTCTCTTTATATAGATCTTCCCAATCCTTGTAGGGACTCATACGTCTAGTCAACTGGTTCAGATTCTTAACACACACACACACACACACACACACACACACACACACACACACCCCGCGCCACCCGCCAGTAGCATTCTTGTTAGTTTCGTGGAGGACCCTTCTCCTTCAGCGCCTTTGGACTGAAGAAGGCTTTCTTGCTCAGAAACGGGGGAGGGCGCGCTGGACTTCAGTACTGAGAGAGGCTCCCAGGGTGGACGGGTGGGTGGGTGGAGAGTGTCCAACTGAATGGGTGAAATTTCAGCAGACCTCACATTTTAGAAAGCAAACAAAACACCCGAAAATCCGAGCACTTGCTTTGTGTTGGGAAGCCACGTTGCTGACCCTGGGAACGCAGGTGACTAATGCACCCAGCTCCGGCCGCCGGACTGGACAGAAAAGGGGACTCCGGCTTGGCTGGCTGTAGCCACTTCAATTCGGTGGGTGTGAGAGGCTCGACTCGTCTTGGCCCAGCAGAGGCGGGGCAGGGAGAGCGGGGTGGTCGCGCTGTGGCTTCCCAGCCCTGGGTGGGGGAGCTGTCACACTTTGAGGGGACTTTACTGCCCTCAGAGGCCTTCTCACCCTTACACTGAAAGGAGTTTCTAACAAATATGCCCTTCTCTCCGCCGCCGTCTGGAGTCGGCTTAGTTTAAAGTCAGCTTGCTTGTCCCAGGAAAAGGTGAATTCAGAAGGGTCTGCCTCAGGAACCGAAACAAATAGGACCTCAGCCAATGCTCGCCATCCGTCAATTACTGGGTTCCACCAGTTCCCTCTCCTGTCCAGGGGCGTTGGCTCGAGCCGCAGAAAGCAGCCGTGTAACTCAATTTGGGGCGTCTTGATGGAGAAATAGGTGCGCGCTGAGTGCAGCGCGAGGGGGGTTCGCAGCCTGGGACCGCCCCCCCTTCCCGGCTAGCCTCTAGGAATCGTTCTTCTTTCTCGGGATTCTCCTCCCCCACCCTCCCACGTCCACATTATTGGACCCAAATCGGTTCTGTCTTGACCTGGGGGGTGAGAAACCCAAGTCAGTCTTTGAGGGGATACTCCAAGAACCCGAAGATTCCCCATGTGTGGGGGCAGCGCAGCTCTTTCCTAAACCCCAGCCAAGCTGAAGGCCCCCCAACCCCATCCCCAAACCCCGATGGCTGTGGGGCGTGGGGGAGATTTTACAGACAGCTTCCCCCTTCCTCCTCTTCCCCACCCCCTACCCCGCCGTGTAAACACGAGGGCTTTCTCGAGAGTCCTGGAGAGCTGCTCTAGTGGCTTCGGGGCCTGAAACCCCAGGCTTGGCTTGTTTGATGTTTAGCATCCCAAAGCTGCTCCCCACCCCCGCGCCGGCCTGGGAATCGGAGCTCAGGCCGGAGAAGCAGGAACGCAGCCCTCTCTGCGGGCTGGGCCCCCTCTTGGTTGGCTCAGGGGAGATGTTCTGGGCAGGAGGGCAGAGGGTCTGGGCCGGCGTCTCCGACGGGAGAACAGCGGGTCCAGGAGGATGGCGAGGGCAGAGGATGCCTCTGCAGCCAGCGGGGACAGCGGTTCCCGGGGCTGGGACTGGCCAGGTGGGATGTAGCTCGGGACACCGCGAGGCTTCCCAAGAAACGCTGGGGGTCTATATTCCTGGAGGCCGGGAGGCCTTGCGTACCCCCCAGGGTCTTCTCCCCACTGCTCAGGGCTCAACCTTTCAAAAGGGAAAGGCTAGTATCGCCTGTGCCCAAGAGATTTTCCATCTTGGGGGGGGGCAGGAATAGGAAATGCCATAGATAGTGCCTCCATCTGACATCCAAGGCTCCTACTTTGAGGCCCCGGCGAAGAATCCTCAGACTTCAGAGGCCCCCTACCCTTCCAGCGCGCGCCCACCCGAGTATGGGCGCACATGAGGGGCTACCTTGAGGCGCAAGTGCACAAAAGGTAGCTTGGGTCTCTTCTCAGACGCTAAGAGGAAAAGAGAGCGGGGTTTTCTGACTTCCACCTTATTAGGGACCAGGTAAGGTCAATGCTTTCTCTATTATGTCTTTATCTTAAAAGCGGGTCAATTTAAGATAAGGGGGCGGGGGGATCCAGGATCTGTGTGAACCGTGCTGATAAAGACTGACCCCTTTCCTGAAATAAAAGCACGCCAGGCAGACATTCATTTTCTATAAACAAGAGAGTTGTGAGGAGCTGTCTTGAATTCTGATCGGATGTCTCCAATCTCTAGACATTTCTCCCCCACTCCCAATTACTATGGCGAGGGAGCCCAATGAGCAGGCGGTTTTATTTGCCAAGAACTAGAAAGCCTGGCGGCGAATGTGAATCTCGGGTGATAGGGGTTTTAGTCGCGGTTTGCTTTTTTGCTTCAGACACTGCTTTCTTTTAGAATGAAAGGAAAGTGATAGAAATGACTATCTGGAGAGATGAGCCGGACTCTTTTCCTCGATTAACCCTGCTCTGAGGTTCTGGACACCGTCTTCTCAGGCCCTTTCTTCTCTCCTCCTTGGTGCCGTTGTGTTTATGCAATTTTGTCTTCTCATGGCTTCAGGGGGCTTTCTGTAAGATTCGATTTGGGCCCCAGTCTCAACTTGGAGCATAAAGTTTTCTGGCACCTTTTTACCATTGGCTTCTGGTAGAAGTGTCTTACTTGTCCTCACTCCAGTGGATTTGTCCCCCCAAAGGGTTGGAGGAATTCGGTGTGGATGGAAATCGAGGGAAATACGTGCTTTGCTGCAGAGAAATGAGACTTGTCTTCCATACCACATACAGGTGCATTTTCCAACTATCCAGGAAGATTCTCAAAGGAACAGGCTTATCAACAGGACAGTGCAGCTTCTGTCTCGTCTAAAGCCACAGTTGAAGTGGTTCACAGCATTTCTCTTTGATAGTGACCTAATGTCTGACTTTGGAGAGTGTCTATGCTCTGTTCCCTGTTTTCATC